TTTATTTCATTTGTTCATTCTGCTGTTAGTACAAAACAGTTTTATGATTCATTATTCTAAGAGATAGTATTTATCAAGTTGCATATATGGCAGATCATTTTCAACAAGGGTACTAAGACTATTCAATGGGGAAAAGACGATCTTTTCAACAAATGGTGCTGGGAAAACTGTGTATCCACATGTAAAGGAATGAAGTTAGATCCTTACCTCATGCCATGTGCAAAAAACGAACTCAAAATGGATTAAAAACTTTACATAAAAGCTAAAACTATAAATCTCTTAGAAGAAAACAAATGGAAAGCTTCATGACATCACTAATCATCAAAGAAATGCAAATTAAAACTACAATGAAGTATCACCTTACACCTGTCAGAATGGGTATCATCAATAAATCAACAAACAGTGTTGGTGAGGATGTGGAGGAAAGGGAACTTTCATGCATTGTTGGCATTGTACATTGGTGCAGTCACTATGAAAAACAGTATTGAGGTTCCTCAAAAAATTAAAAATATAACCACCATGTGACCCAGCAATTCCACTTCCGGATATTTATCTGAAGAAATCCAAAACACAAATTCAAAAAGATACATACACTCCTATGTTTATTGCAGCGTTATTTACAGTGGCCAAGATCTGGAGGCAACTTAAGTGTCCATCAATAGATGAGTAGATAAAGAAAATGTAGAACAGAAGTAGAATGGAGTATCACTCAACTATAAAAAAGAATGAAATCTTGCCATTTGCAACTACATGGATGGACCTAAAGGATATTATGCTGACTGAAATAGGTCAGACAAAGAAAAACTAATACCATACGATTTTACATATGAAAATAAAAAGCAAAATAAACAAAACAGAAACTAACTCATGGGTAAAGATAAATTGATAGTCACCAGATGGGAGAGGGGTTGGGGCGATGAGTGAAAAAGGTAAAAGGGTTTAAGAAGTACAAATTGTCACTTATAAAAATAGTCACAGGGATGTAAAGTACAGCTCAGGGAATATAGTCAATACTGTAACTATATATAGTGTCAAATGGGTACTCGATTTATCGGAGTGATCACATCATAAGGTATATAAATGACTAGGCACAATGTTGTATATCTGAAACTAGTATAATATTGTATATCAACTGTATTGAAAAATTAATTTAAAAAAATAAATTTAAAAAATACTTTGCCATAAGAGCTTGTTTAGGTTCATCCTTTCCTTAAATAATGCTGGACTTCAACTTGGCAAATAAGAAACTTGGGCTGTGATACAGTTGTGAGAGTAAATGTATTACCCAGCTGTCTAAATGCTTATATAATACTGTGTCTATCGCTTTCTTTTTGGAGGTTTACTCCCTCTTCCATTTACTAACTTGACATCTGGTAAAACAGAATTTGGTTTAGCAGTTAAAATAAAACAAGAAACAAACAAACAAACAAAAACACATGAGTCTATCAAAGTGAAACTAAAATGTTTAATAAAAGCATAAAAATTATGCTAAAGATGAAGACTAAAAATTAGATATTAGGCAAATTTATAAAACAAAGTATTACAGTTTTTACATTTCAACAAATCATAAAGTATAAAATCGTAAAATGTCAACATGTGCAAGGAAAGCATTAATAGCCTTTTTGGTGACTAGCCATATAAAGCTGTTTTTAAAGTGCTACACTGTGAGATATTATATTTAAGAGTTTAATAAACATCTGATTTCAACATAGTCACACATAAAACACTTTTTCCCCTCAAGTAAGCTATGAACTGTTTTGTTAGGAAAGTTGAAATTAAGCATTTATAAAATTAAGGAGTAATAAACTTGTTAATCCCAAATTACTAGTGCAATTCAAAAGCCTAAAAAATTCCAGATCAGGAACAAACTGTCCTGCTCAAGGTGCACTTTAATCCACACATGTATCTTATCTAAAATCCATACCACAGCCTCTCCATCTACTTACAGTTTGTTCCTGGGCACTTCATTTATTAGTTGTGTTTTCTTTTTTAATTAACAAAAAATCCTCAAGGCACCTAAAGATTAGCCTATGTTTCATTTGTCCATATTGAAAATGCAGAGGGGTAAACTGCTAGGGATCAAGTGGTGGCAGTACAGAGAAGTGGTTTAGAGAGACTGGCACAAAGACTGGTAAATTTGAAATGAGCCTTTTCACTAGGTACCTAAACATCTAAGCTTTGGCTTTATCAGCTACAAAATGGCATCCTCTTAATAATCTGTAAGGATTATGTATGCCTACAAGTAAAGCATTGACTATGGTACCAGCAGGAGGAAAAGCTAAAAAATAGAGTTGTTTGTATTATTATCATGATTACTTCTATATAAGGAAGGAGTACTATGGATGAATAAAGGAAAAGGCTCACCATTCTTTGGACTGTGTTCTCACTGGGAGCAATACTGGCATACTGGGCAGGACAGTTCTTGTACAGAATTGCTCAGACCTTTGGCATCCGGGCCTTAAGGCAGCAAAAGGCCAGTAGCACCCCCATCGTTGTGATAACCAAAAATACACCCATACATTTACAAACACCCCCTGAAAGAGGCCGTTACCTTTCTTGAGAACTGCTCTTCTTGAGGGGCCTTCTTTATTAAGAAACAATTTAGTTATTTTAATACGAATAAGAATTTCTTACTGTCTTAGACGGTATTTAAGGATGAGATACATTAGGCCTGGTGGCAGGGAGAATAGGAAAGAATTCACTACAACCTGAATCCTAGTATCAGAATTCCCAAGCTCACTATTTAGGACTCAAGTCAAAAGGTAGAGCTATATCTTTGCAAGTAAACTCAGCAGGAAGGAATTCTGCCATGAAGCCACGTCTTCAGCTAGTCTGACTGTTATGTAGTTGAAATGGAAGGTAGACATATAAATTCAGACTATGACCTTTCCTCAACATTACTGGACCAGGGTCCACTTCCTCCCATGTCTACAAAAAGTAAAAACTAAAATCATAAAAAGATTAACAAGAACAACACCACCCCACCCCACCCCTCAACTGGCATAAGATCTGTGGCAAGAAAAGCTCTAACTCAGCCTGAACTCACATCCTTTTCTGACAAAGTATTCAAGTCTGAGCTCCACTTTCATGTTCTATTCCTAAATTTGTTCTTCAGAACTTAACAGTGTTTTGGTGATGCTAGGAAAGATATAGGGCATTTGACCTTTGTTAGTGCTGAGAGAGAGAAGGCAAGTTTTGTTACCACATGAAATGACTAAGGCACTGAGATGAGAAGAAATGCTCCCTGGTAGAAGCCACTGGGAATAAAATCCAAATCTCCTGCTTCCCAATCCAGTCCTCTAGTCCCATTCCCTAAATCACAGACAAGCGTTACTAAAAAGGCTGAAGTATCCTGCTGAGGAGCCCCGAGATGAAAGCTCCCATATGTTCTACCCTCTTTTTAGTCTCTAACCTGAGCCTACCCTGGATCCACTAAGTTGCTGGATCCGCTGTCAAGTGTAGAAAGAAGAATGTGTTTAGAAAGACATGTATTTACATCCTGTTCACCATCTCCTTTCAGAGATGTTCTTTATCTCTTTGAAATGATTATATTAAATGGATGTGGGGCTAAAGTTAGACCATATTTTCCTGTCAGAAGGGGCTTCTGAGAATCCTTAGGTAAAGCGAATGTGAAACTCTGCATCAGGCTCACAAACGTCAGGAATAGTTCCATCTTTGCCAGCTGCTCTCCCATACACACCCGCTTCCCTAAAATAAGAGCAGAAAAAAATTAAGCATTATAATACCACCCCTTTTTCTGTCTCTAAAAGGACACATTTATATGCAATATCTAAATTGTCTTAAATACAGATATAGAGTTTTAAAATAAAACTGCCACATATACCACATGACCTCCCACAGTAATGCTGATTAAAATTTTTATAAATGAAGCTCACATTTTAACCCCTACGCATAAAAATCTATCTTCATCCTAGACAGGAACTAGAGACAGATCTGATTCTTGTCTCCTCCTGCTTCTGTACCTACTTGTTTCTTTCCTGTGCTCTTACCTGGATGATTAGGGAGAAAATAAATCAGATTACGACTCTCCGGAGTATTCCTTCTCTAGGAACCTAAAGGAGCTGCTGCTGAGAATAGAGAACCCCTCTCACCCACCAGCCATCAGTCAAAAGCTGCTCTGAACTCCAGCAGTTCCCTGGCACTCAAACCATCACCAGAGCAGTTCAGAGATGAAGATTCCTAGGCGTATTTAAAGACTTAAAACCAAATTGCTTTCCTTTCATTTTTAAAATCTGAAATGAACAAAGCGGAGATGTATTATCTACATGATTTATCTCTTATATTAGCTTGCCCGGAAAGAAACATTTTTAAAACAGTACTATGAAATAATAAAATATTCTTTTGGTTCTACTTCATTTTTAATTATGCCATTAAGAAAATAAAGTTTAGCCGAACCGGTTTGGCTCAGTGGATAGAGCGTCGGCCTGCGGACTGAAAGGTCCCAGGTTCAATTCCGGTCAAGGGCATGTACCTGGGTTGCGGGCACATCCCCAGTAGGGGGTGTGCAGGAGGCAGCTGATCGATGTTTCTAACTCTCTATCTCTCTCCCTTCCTCTCTGTAAGAAATCAATAAAATATATTTAAAAAAAGAAAATAAAGTTTAACTCACCTATCCCAAAAGGAATAAATGTTTCTCTTTTAATAAGTTGTCCTTGATCATCCAGAAATCGATTAGGGTTGAAATCATTAGGTTTCTCCCAAATGGCTGGATCTCTGTGCACTGCCCACAAGTTGGGTACTATCACTGTGCCTTTAGGAATAGTATACCCTTGGAGCACTAAAACAAACAAACAAAAACCAGTGTCAGTCAGCATGCTTTTTTACTAATCTGTAAACATCGCTATCTAAAAAATACCTAGTGACATATCGAGCTCTTAATTTGCTGAGACTAAACCTTGAGGTACTTGCAGGCAGGGGCAAGACCTTACCAATTGGCATCCCTTTCTCCATACCGCCCCAGGATCCAGCTTAAGAGTTGTTGAATTAATGCATTAGATCAAACCATAACAACATTATAATGAAAAGAAAACACATAGAAATCACAGGGCATACCAGGTAAACTTTCCCAAAGAATAGAAATTCCTAATACTTGTATAAAACTTTATATTTTACCGTCTTTTATGTCCACACAATAATATGATGAGAAAGGTAACTAAGGTAAAGGGATGTACAGGGAAGTCAGCATTGCCTCTTAATCGGCTAAAAAATCCATGTGCACTTTAAGTGATACCCAAAAGATACTGCACACTCAGTGAATTTAATTTGTACCAAAGAAATTGTTAAGTGATCTAATGCCGTTTATAAGTGATTGCCTTCTACAACAGTCTCATAACTAATTTAAGCCTGCTACATCATGAGCTGTCTCCTAGGAGGTGACTTCCTTGTTACGAGGGAATCTGAGTGCCTATACAGGGTGGGCAAAAGCCAGGTTTACAGTTGGAGTTCGTGAAACACAGTTTATTCTTTTTTTTTTTTTTAAATATATTTTATTGATTTTTTACAGAGAGGAAGGGAGAGAGATAGAGAGTTAGAAACATCGATGAGAGAGAAACATTGATCAGCTGCCTCCTGCACATCTCCTACTGGGGATGTGACCGCAACCAAGGTACATGCCCTTGACCGGAATCGAACCTGGGACCTTTCAGTCCGCAGGCCGACGCTCCATCCACTGAGCCAAACCGGTTTCAGCCACAGTTTATTCTTGTATTATTGTTTATTAATTGTTGTATTATCTTTCATATGAACAACTGTAAACCTACTTTTTCCCCACCCTGTATGTCAAGGGCATAATCAAAAGGACACATTTCACTGTGAGAGGTTGAAACAGGTATCGTTAGAATCAAAAGGGCTCTTCTAACTCTTTAATATTTATGCTTCACTTGCAGAATTGTAACAACTGAAGTAGGATAACTCGAAGTTAACACCTTGCTGGCCAGCTATTTGGAGCCAGAACTTGCTCGTGTGGCCAGCTACTTTTAGTAGTTTTGGCAACCCGTGGCTCTCCCTCATTGTTCCACAAACCAGTGTTTTGTTCTTCAATAATAGTTCAGCTGTAGACATGCTATTTTAGTAATTATCTTGGTAAATTTGATGCCAAGAACCAAGAAAAGGCCATAAGACAGATAATATAATCTGTTGTATTTTTCGCCTTCACCCATATATATCTTGAAGTTGCAAATATAGCCACTCTCACTTTCACAAAGCATCCTTACTAAAATTCCACATTTTATTATTTTTGCCGGATAATTCGTCTTGAATCTGATGCGTCCTCTCCATGGAATCGTTGCTTCATTGAGTGATAACTGCTGTTTGGGTACATATAAAGATTTACGTTTAGAGATAAAGTGATCCGTGAAGATGGTCTATGTTACATGTTGCTTGTGAATTATCATTCAGATGAAAGAATGTAAGTATTTACTCGAACCTCTTTCTATAAACATAGTTTTTGGAACTATGGGTGATTCAAGTAAAGGATCGGTTGAACAGTAATCTTTTCATTCTGGCTTCTTTGTTTGTCCCATCAATATAATTAAACCAAGAAACTTCTTTATATTCATATAAGTAATGTCCATCTATGGTGAAGTTTTAGCAGATATTTTTGTGGTATTTTTCCATGTGCTAATGTATAAATTGGTTTGAGAAGTAATGAGATTGAAAAAATTCTTATCAAAAAATAAATTGGTTACTTCAGTTATACTTTATGGGTCTTCAGATTGAACAGTTATGCCTGAAATATTTGTATAATGCTCCAGGTAAAATGTCTTTTTCTGCCCATTCTTCTTCAGAATCACTTTCACTGTTGGATACTATCACGTTTCTTTTGCCTTCATGATGGTCTAATGTTAAACTCATTACTATCTTCTGACAAGGTACTATCTTCCAGCTGACTACCAAAGTCACTCGGCCAATCAGGCGCGGAGTCCGCACATCATTCACTCTAACATTCTTCTCTGCCATGACAAGTCTTTTTTAAACCTTTTGCCATAATAAAAGATGGATGGAAAGAATTTGATGTAGTTCTCATCATAACTGATGAGTTGAGGAAAAGACACGCATAGCAAGGAGGAAAACTAGGGACGGCTGAAATAAGTGCCGAGCAGTGAATTGGCTTGTATCTCGCACCTCTTATAATCTGAGCCTACACAAACATAACTAAGAAAATAGTCCAGAGTGCTGTTTTAAAATTCTACATTGCTTTCCGACCTTAAAATTACTTAATGTGAGTGGAAACACAAGTATACTCGTAACCGGTAAAAAAGGTGGTGTTAAAACCCTTACTTCCACATTTAGACTAGCTCTTCTGACCCTCAAGAAGAGGACGGAGAGGTGGGTGCCTTTGTCAATGCTAGAATTTCTTCTGTCCAGGCAGCCACTGCATATGGCAGCTTAATTTGTTTGTGACCATTGTGGGCATCTGTGCTCTGAAGAGCAAGCCATTTACAAAACAAGCTGTGTAGAATGCCAGTACAACAAATACTGGACAACTGTCTGCTGAAGCATTCCCTGCACATTTGACTGTCCATGATACAGTGCTAAACCATTGGGAGGATCAAGGTAGGTGACAGTCACCATACCCTCACCTCAACTTCCCTGGGCTGGGCTTCCCATTCAAAGGTGGAAGTTCTAGACTTGCCTGTTTTCTCCGAGGTCATATGTGGAATGGAAAGCGGCACTACCATAGTCAGCCTCTGCACCTCCATGATGGTGGCTTCTGTGTAGGGCATCTGGGCCTTGTCAGTGAAGGAAGGGACTCGGTCAGCACCAATGACCCTTTCAATTTCCTCGTGGACCTTTTCTATACAAAAAGAGAATAAACCAGAAGACCAGTCACTAGTAAGTTGAGACTTCCCTCCTACGCCACTTACCATCACCTTGTACACACAACCGGCAATGTGGCAGTACAGGCCTGACTCCGCCTGAGTGAAGTGAAGCACTAATCAGATATTCCAAGTGGAGCCAGCTAGCCCCTGTACACTCTGTGACTCTGAAGGATATCAGAACAGATAGAGGGGCGAAGGAGCAAGCACTCTGTATTCAGGAGTACTCTGAATCATTCTCTCATGTGAACACTGGACTATCTAAGCGTTTACTGGTATATGTGACAATATATGGTAGCCCATCAAAGCTCCTAGTGATTTCCGTGCCTCTTGGTTTACACATTCACTTTTTTAAAATTGATTTTTAGAGAGAGAAACATAGATGTGAGAGCGAAACATCTATTGGCTGCCTCTGGCACATCCCCTACTGAGGATGGAGCCTGCAACCTGGGCTTGTACTCTGACCTGGAATCAAACCAGCAGCCTTTTGGTGCATGGGACAATGCCCAACTAACTGAGCCACACCGGCCAAAGCTTGGTTTACACATTCTTACGCAGTCCCCTCCCACTTTGTACTAAGTTGGTCTAAGTGACCAACAGAGTAAAGGAGGAGTTGACATGTCAGTTCTGAACTTAGGTTATAAAAGACACTGTGGCTCCTGTCTTGGCCATTCACTCTCTCTAGGGTCAAGTCAAGCAGCCCTATGGGAAGGTCCAAGTGGTAAGACCTGCAACCAGTAGTCAAGTGGATGAGCCATCTTGGAAGTGGGTCCTTCAGTCCCAGTCAAGTTTATAGGTGACTGCAGCCCCAGCCAGATTTGACTACTACATCATGAGAAATCTTAAGCCAGACCATCCAGACTAAGCCACTCCTGGATTCCTGATCCTCAGAAACTTTGTGAGATATTATTTTAAGATGATAAATTTTGGGATAATGTATTACTCAGCAATAGATTAACTAATACAGGTAGGCACAATCCTGTCTGTAGTAGGCAGAAAAAACACACACAAAACCCTCAAAGATGTCCATAAGCTAATCCCCTGAAACCTGTGAACATTCTGCCTCGCCTGGCAAAAGAGACTGCAGATGTGATTAAACTAAGGACCCTGCCGTGGGGAGATTATCCTGGATTTTCTGGGAATGCCCAATCTAATTGCATGGGTTTTTTAATTGGAGAACTTTTCCCAGTTGAATTTGGAGTCAGAAGGAAATGGGACTACAGATGAGTGGTCAGAGAGATGCAATATTTCTGGCTTTGAAGATGGAGAAAGAGGGCCATGAGCCAAGGAACCTAGAAATGGATTCTCCACTAGAGCCTCCAAGAAGGAATGCAGCCCTGTCAATCTCTTGATTTTAGCCCAGTGAGACATGTGTCAGACTTCTAATGTGCAGAACTAGAAGATAACAAACCCATATTGTTTTAAGTTGCTAAGTATATAGTTATTTGTTAAAGGAACAACAGAAAACTAATACACTCTCTTCCCCTGTGTTCTTCCACTATGAACTGCACTGGCATTCACTGCCTGTTGCTATTGATGTAGTGGAACTAGCTGTGTGAGCCTGTGAAAGTCACATAACTTCTCTGGGCCTCTGTTCTCCATTTTAAAAACAAGATGAATGGGTTTGGATGATCACTATGATTCCCATCAGCTCTAAATTGTTATTCCTCTCTGAAGTTCTATCTTCATCACAGTTTCCACACAGAATCAGACCTGTAGAGATTTAAAGCAGGGGCAAGCAAGTATTATACAGTCTAGAAACGTGGAGTTTCACCTCTAATACCTCTTCATCACTTAGTGCTAGGAGCCACAGGATCACCAAAGTTGCTGATCCGAATTTACATAACCTAATTTTGCCATGAATAAAGGAAACACCTATTAATTACCTTGTATGTCAGGGTTCAGTGACATATACAGAAGGCACCAAAGCAAAGAGTTACTCGTGGTATCAGTCCCAGCAACGAAGAGATCACTGATGATATAAAGTAAGTAATCTTCATTAAAACTACTATTGCTATTATTTTTCTTCTCTTCATCCACGTGGAGAAGGTACATGTCTATGTAGTCCCGAGGGTTCTCAACGTCCAGAGACTCTCGATGTTCTTTGATGATTCTTTTAAGGAAATTGAGAACATCATTTTCAATGACTCTGAATTCCTTAAATGGTCCAAAGGGAAGGTAATAAAGCCAGGGACATATGTTGACCAGTTGGAGCTGGCTGTTCAGACAGACCTCTAACCCTCGTGATATAAAATTAAGCATTTTCCTAAACTCACTATTGGTGTAATCAAAGCGCCGGCCAAAGCACATGAGGCAAATGATATTGGAGATGGCATTGTGGACAATGGGGAAAGGATCGAAGGGGTCTCCTCCATGTTTTTGCATTTCCTCCTTCACATATTTGAACTCCTCAATAATCTTGGGCTCCAAGCTAAGCTTTCCTAAGCCAAAATGACGAAGAGTTGAATGAGAGAACTTCCTCTGTTGTCTCCAGACTGGACCATAACGTGCAAATACAACCCCTGCAAAAGGACACACGAGAAAAGACATTGAGAGATAGCAATACTTGATAATACTCACCAGAACATACCAGGAATGTATTCTGTATTTCTCAAGTCACTTGTGCAAAGTTCATATACATATAAAGATTACCAGCCAAGACAAAGGATTAGCAAAATGTAGTTATCAAGATAGTATATGTTTCTAATAACAAAAAACATATGCAATTTGATTAGGAAAAAAATTGCTATACAGCTTATCATTATAGATTGTAACTCCAGGTAAAGTGAAAAGCAGTGAATTTCAATTTCTAGAGTTAGTGTAAATTTTAAAATCTTATTTTCATAAGAGTGAATCCAGGCTTTGAAAATATTTTACGCTGGATATACCCTTTTCTAAACATTCTGAACAGAAGGATTAGCATGCTAGTAGACTGCAGATGAGGGCAGGGATGATATCTGATTGTGCTCACCATTAAAATCCCAGCTTTGGGTATAGTGCTGGGTATAATGGAGGAGCTCGTTAAATATGAGCTGAATAAATCAATAGCACAACTGTATTAGAACACTGGCCATCATAGTTTGAAATCAAGTAACTGGCAGGTAATCTAAAATATCTGCTGTTGGCAACTGCCCTAATTTAAAAACATCTGAATTCAAGGTCATCCACAACTATATTTTACTTGACTTCACTTATGTTACACATCTTCCACCACCAGAGCCAACAGAATTGCTCTCAGATATTCCTTGTTTCTTGTCATTTTTTTCATCCTCCTACCTTCCATGGTGTGTTTTGTTTCAGCCAGTTCTCTTCCTTTCCCACTTTTAATCTACTTTATTTCTGCTACCTTCAAAGGCATGCTTCATTCACTTAACAGATATTTCTGAATGCCTACTATGTGCCAGGAACTGGGATGTAGAACAGTAAAAATAACGACTGTTATTTTATAATAAGGTATATAGAAATTTTATAATTAATCTAATATCTAATGGGGAGAAGTTCCCCTCTCTCCTGCCACCACCTTGTTCTTTTTGAAAATTGTTTTTCATTATCTTTGACTCTTTACTCTTTCAGAAAACTTTAATCAGCTGGTCAAGTTTTTTTTTAAGTACCTTTGGGACTTTGATTGGATTTAATTTATAGATTAATTTGAACATTGACTTTTTTTCTTTATTGATTAAGGTATTACATATGTGTCTTTATCCCCCTATTGTCCCCCCACACTCCCCCACTCATGCCCTCACCCCCCTGTTGTCTGTGTCCATTGGTTAGGCTTGTATGCATGCATACAAGTCCTTTGGTTGATCTCTCCCCCTTACTCCCACCCTCCCCTACCTTCCCTCTGAGGTTTGACGGTCTTTTTGATCATTGGACTTGCTTGCAGTCCAAGAATAAATCCAACTTCAGTTATGATGTTTTGTGCTTTTTCAAAACATCGTTGGACTTGGTTTTCTTAATTTTTCTAAAAAATAATTCTTTATTGTTGAATTACATATGTCCCTTTTTTCCATTGACCCCCTCCAGCCCCCCCCCCCCACACACACACACAGCCCAGCCTTCAGCACCCTATTGTCTGTGTCCATGGGTTATACATATATGTATACAAGTTGGACTTGGTTTTCTAATTTTTTTAATTCATCTTCATAAATGATCATACCTATAAATTTTATTTTTTATAATGTACTTGTATGGATATACTGGCCTCCTAAAATGAGCCAGGGTGTGTTCTCCCTCTTTGAAAGAATTTGTTTAAAATTTGACATGTTTCTCTTTTTTTCTTTGAGTTTATTCTTTTGTTCTTTTTTGGATATAAAAAGTTGGTCTTCTAACTCATTACATTTCAGACCTTTATCCTAAAAAATGAGTTAAGGCTCTGCAATTGGCCTCTGGGTACCACGTTAGCTGTGGTTCATAAGAACTGTGTGCATGGCATAAATTTTCATTACAGTTTAAGTTTAAATTTTTTTTCTATTATTCTCTTTTACCACCTAGCTCAGTTTGTCTCATACTGATTTTTGACAATGATGAGCTTGCTTTTTAGCCTGGTATGTGATCAATTTTAATAAAACTTCCAAATAGTTAAGAGGAATTTGTATTCAAGTTATTGTTGGGGATAGGGTTCTCTATATGTCCAAAAGAGAAGGCTTGATAACTGCTGAAATCAAATCTTCTGTATACTTACCAAATTTTTATCTACCTGATTTCTCAACTATTCAAATATGTATGTTAAGATATCCTGCTATAATGGTGTGTTTGTCAATTTCTTTTTGCTGTTCTATAATTTTTATTACATATATCATAGCTAGTAAATATATCTATAGCTCTGTTTATAAGTTATTAGGTATATATATACCTAATATATAAATAAATTATATATTTAGACAATATTTCTAGGAATATTCAAATTTAGAATTATTATATCTTGTTAAACCCAGCCAGCATGGCTCAGTGGCTGTGCATCAACCTATGAACCAGGAGGTCATGGTTCAATTCCCGGTCAGGGCACATGCCCAGGTTGCAGGCTCCATCCCACAGTGTGGGTTGTGCAGGAGGCAGCAGATAAATGATTCTCCCCCATCATTGATGTTTCTCTCTCTCTCTCCCCCCTCTTCCTTCCTCTCTGAAA